CGTAAAACACATCCTCGTCACACCCACTCCACCTTATCCACGACGCTCTCAAACATCTCTGCCATATCTTTCATCCCGTCACGCTCAAACCCACACTCAACCCTCGCCCCGTCATTTATCCTCCGCCTCCCTCAAAATCGACACGAAAATACCCAAAAAAAAGTAGGTCTGCCTCGGAGCCTTGAACATTTTAGCCCCACGACCTCTTTTTTATGACCAAGCATCTCCTGGACACTTGCGGTACACCGCAGCCTGACTTTGTCACATGGGCCATTGCCACACACGCTCGGCCCTCACAGGAATTGGGCTTTCTTCTCTTCTTCTTCAGCCACATGCACACCAGCGGCATCTTTCACAGTCCTCGACCTTCCCTGGTTCATATTGTATGCACGCTATTTTCAGCGTTTCTGACACGGCCCCTCATCACGCCGCCCCTTGTTTATCCAGGTTGCCATGGGTGCAGAGACGCGGGAAAGGTATGTACCCGGACTTTCGACGAGACAGCCGCAGCCTATGTAGCGTTTTCTGATGCAGTTCATGAATTCACAGGGCAAGTCGACCGAAATGCTCAGGCTGAGGTGCGCGATGCAGTCTTCTCCGAATCGGCCCCGTAGCCCGCTGTGGAGGGTTTCCAGTCGGTGCCAGACAGTGACGGATAGTGATTGAATCCTCAGGTACAATCTCCTCGATGGCTTCCACGCACATATTACTCCGTATTTATTGTCTCCATTCTCAAGTCACGCACCTCAGCCTCTAACAGCTAACAGTAATACCGCATTGCTTGTTGGCAGTCTCTGTCTCATAGTCTCGGGACGGCAGCCGCAGACCGTAAAGCATGCAAGCCATCTCCTCATGATATGGTCACACCGACTCTGAAGAGTACTTTGAACCCTCTTCGGCAGAACTCTGGGTATATGCAGAAGGTAACGGGCGCGATACTGCAGGTTGCTGCCACCCCAGGGCGCTGCGGCTCCTCGGGATGCGTCTTCTTTCTGTCCGAAGAACGGCCAAACGCCATGCGCGCAGAGGTTATATCAAACTACTTCCGACCATGGTGATACGTTGGTTCTTCAGGTTCCTCCGATCCACAGGAACAAGCTTGTATAAAGCAGAGTTCCGATATAGGCTTGGCACTGGCACCCCACCCGCCCTCAGATCATATCCGTCATGTTCTCGCTTCGGACGGCCGTAGCTCTCACTGTCTTGGCTTTCACCGGTTTCGTCCATGCACAGTTGACAGGATCGACTGGTCCTACTACGCCGCTCTCTTCTAAAACTGTCACTTGCAGCGTCTTGGACTACGGGGGATCCGTGGGTAGCAGCGACATCGGTCCTGCCATTTTGGAGGCCTTCGAGGTTCGTTTTTTGACTCTTGGATCATGTCATATATGTTTGCTCCCTGACCGATCAGTTGTGTTTCTCAGAATTGCGTGTTGAAAAACTCCGGTGCCGTTCTCTACGTCCCGGCAGGAAATTACAACATGGAAACTTGGGTTACTCTTACCGGAGGTGGGCGTTCATCTATCCTATATTTCTAATCTATAGACTCACGAGCGTCACCTGGTAGGAACGAAATGGGCTTTTAGACTCGATGGCTTGATCACACGTGCATGTACGTCGCCGTCCATTTACACATGATTAAATCCGTCCTTCGGTTGAAGATGGGCCTTAGCAACCACAAGTGGAAACATGTTCGCCATCGAGAACGCCGAAGATTTTGAAATGTACAGCTCTACCTCCGCAGGTGGAATCCAAGGACTGGGTTACCAATGTCGCAATGCCGGGTATGTGGCCTTCATTAAGTCCCATACACGCTGTATGATTTCTGAGAGGATCACTTGCGTCATCTAGCCCCCGACTTCTTCGTATCATCGACTCCACTAACTTTTCTCTTCATGATTTGATCTTCGTCGACTCGCCGGAGTTTCACATCACCATCGACGGAGGTTCTAGCGGAGAGCTCTACAACCTTGCCATCCGAGGGGCTGACATCGGTGGGAGCGATGGTGTTGACATTAGTGGTGACAATCATTGTGAGTCTGAACCATATCGTTCTTGTGTTACGTTTCTGTGTCTCATGAAGCTGAGCAGGGGTCCACGACGTCATGGTCACAAACAGAGACGAATGTGTCACTGTTAAGTCGCCTGCGAGTAACTTCCTCATCGAACAGATTTGGTGCAATCAGTCTGGAGGATGTGCGCTTGGTAGCTTGCCTGTGGACTGCGACATATCTAACATACAATATGTGTACGTTATAAGCAGCTTTTCGCGTCTTTATATCGTTCCTTACGACCCACGTTTCAGACACGTATACACGAACGGATGCAATCAGGCGATGATGATCAAGAGCAACGGGGGCTCTGGCTCTGTCAAGAACGTGCTCTTCGATGATTTCCTCGTTACTGGAGGTAGTGCATATGCTCTGGACGTGAACCAGTACTGGTCGAGCATGTCTACTCTCGATGGTGATGGTGTCGCACTCTCGAACATTACGTTCAAGGTGCGTCGTGGAGCCTCTCGGAACCCATTACATAAGTCTGCACTTACCTCTCGCGTTGGTAGAACTGGGACGGCACAGTTGCTAACGGCGTCAGCCGTCCGCCGGTCCAATTTCTTTGTGCGGATGAGGTTCCCTGCACTGACAGTACGTGCAACATTATCACAGTCGCAAATTCGATGATCTCTGAACGTTCTTCTCTCAGTGACCCTCATAGATGTGTACTTGTGGTCTGATACTGGATCTGCGGTGTACAAGTGTGAATCTGCGTTTGGAACTGGTGCATGCCTTCACTCATCCGTTGCAGCCACCAGCTATGCTGCAACGTCGACCGCATACAATAAGCCCATCAGTATGACTGCAGTCCCCACTCTCGCCGGAGATCTGACGGCCGGCTTTGGGTCGACTGCTTCTATCGCTACGCCGTCAGTCGCCCTCCCTCTTGCTGATATGTTCCAACTGACCGTTGCTCGATTACAGAACGATTCCATCGACATACTACCCTGGTCTAGCCCAGATCACGCCTCTAATGAAGAACCTGTAGTTCAGAGCAGCTGTTTCGAAATCGTTTGCATTCATCATAGTGGTGTCCCGTGTATCCTTGTGTAAAGGTGCTCGAACGTCAAGGGGATATGCTTTTCTGAATAAAACCGACGCTCGCACACTCTTACTTCCTAATGGTCTGATGTGTCCGCTTCGATCGCAATTTGCCACCGCACAATATAGTTCTACTAGTATGGGATTATATCTCTGAGGTTGCATAGCACTTCTTTGCGAAGACGAACACGCTGCTCTTCGAATCTCTGCATTGTTTCATGAAGACACAAATAATACAGGCCGTCACTCAGATTAATGTGTCCTGTCCCTGAGACGAGTAGGCTGTCTGTATGGTAAACCCCGAAGACGAGTTATGAACCCATAAAGTAAATGGAGAATCCAAGGTAAGTATTAGAGCCAAACCAATGTCCTAAAGAAGATAGCATTTGCCAAATGTCCAATCGCGAAGTAATGGGAAGGATCCCAAGAGTGTCGGGGAGTTCAAGAGTAGGTACGTCAGTCCATAATAATTGCAGTATTGATCAAAATATAGCTAGGATTCAGTGTCCATTCAGAAATTCTAAAATCCGAAAGGGATTATGGACGTTGTTGCGCCTTGACCTGTGTGGTCGTGATCCTGTCGTTCATATCGTCCTTATTTGAGGGTATTGCTTTTAGCGCCTGAGCACAATCAGTATAGGACTTCGTCGTCCGTCAAATAGGGCAATCAACGCTGGCGACGCTATATCTCCCTTCTCGTTCTCTTCTTCGACATCTTGATCGCTGGACTGTATGTTCTCGCAGGCTCTATACTATCCACGCCATTGGATAACAACCGAGCTTCCTCTTGTGTTTAATCCTCCCACGTCAAGCTCGGCAACGTCTCAGGTCTTTGAGCACCACACCGAACGCCCCGTATTTTCCGGATAGAAGGATGTTTCTGTCGAAGTTCGGCTATATCGTAAGTATAAATTGTTCATGCGTTCAGCATCTCCTGTTGACTATCCATACAGTATCACAGCGCAAGGAGATCAGAATTCCGCACAGCACATGGTGCGCTCCGGGCCCGCTTCCCTTTCGACCGCTTCATGCGGCAGGTATTTATGATACTCGGACTTTCTGAAACAGTCTCCGAGGTTCGAAGTATTCAGAACTGCGTGCCAGCCACGCACACCAGATGACTCAGCGCAGGGGAAGACACTATCAGAAGATTACTCGAGCTGACGCCGAAGGGCGGCACTTGGTGCCACATCGTCTATCCCTGAGTCCAGCACCTCGAAGATCCCCGCATGATTCGGTTGTCTTTGCACGACGATCCGCTAAACCTGAAACTGACCATGTCCAGCCCATTCAACTTCCTTTCATAGAGCCAGACAGCGACGGAAGATGAGACGAGTCTAGAGTAAGCGGTGCATCTCGCAGCGGAGATACTCATAGCTGGGTACCGCCCCGTCTATGTGGTCCATCAGTGATGCGATCGCACGCCTATGCGTATGGAGTAGAGAATGGGTCGAGGAAAGAGGCCTACGCGTTGAACCGTGAGGTAGACATGATTCAAGCAGAGATCGGCGAAGAAGAATCCACAGTCGCCGGTTCGATGTTGAGCTAAGGTGATGCTTCAGACCATACCATGCACCGTAGAAAGCAGAGAGTATCCAAGTCTCTGAGACAAGAGAGCAACCAATGCCAAGTCCACAAGATCTGAGAAGAGCGCGAAGTCCAGTATCCTTTGCAGGTATAAGGACTCAAACCCAAGTGAGGAAGAGTTCCGTTAGTGTGACCGTCGACTAGTCAGAGTACGGTCATGGTGGTCCACAGTAGAAAAAAGAGAGCAAGTGGCGGGAGCGAACATTGATGATCGAGAGAAGTTTTGTGTGAGATAAGATACGATAAGATCGGCATGCAAGAACAAGTCCATTTCGTTCGCGATCGCCTTCGTATTGCTCGCCAACAACGACGAGCTCTGAATGATCGTTGTACGTAGCACGCTTGCCTTCCGACGCGAACCCTCACCCGGTCATGTACGTCGTCGATCTATCAGCAAAGCCTCGAAATCTGCACCTCCTCCTTCGTCCTCCCACGTGTCGACGCCTTTCAAGCTCTAATGCGTTCATGCGACGTTATACCTCCGGACCATCCACTTCTTCCGCTCCCTGATGACCTTGCGGTGTCAACTGCTCTCGGACATAGAAATACGCAGAGGATGCAACACTTCTTAGAGGGGGAAGATTCTACGGGTCGACAGGAATGGGCAAGCTGGAGGCAAAGGTGGCGCTGGCGAAGGATTTTTTCATTTCGCTCAGAAGGAAAGGTCAGTTGTATCAGAAGGCACGGGTCGTAAGCCTCTGATTGAGAATTCTGCGATAGAGAAGGACTATGAACTCCACATTGCACGAAGCGTGAACGAGGACTGAGGTTCATGGCGTCAGGATGGACGTATCCTCACTCGGTACGTCCTCTTCTGACGTTCATCATTTTCATTATTTCCTTCAGTCGCTCTATCAAATACTGCAAACGTCTACGACTTCCTCTTATCTATATTCACGCCGATATATAGTCCCAAACTTACGTCTGTGCCCACCACCAGCGACCCGTCGACCTCTATTCGCACTTGCCCTTGGTTCTCTCACTACAGCTTTCACCCTCGCCCAACGCTATTCATCCCATCTCGCCTTTTACTCTCGCCTCCACACCTCCTACGGTGCCATTACTCGATGACCCGCTTCCTCCGCCCATCGATCTATCCCGCTCGGAACCCATCTCCATCGTTGTCCCAACGTATCGAGAAGTAGTAGCAGCGTAGCCTCGAGGAGATATTTGAGCAATATACAGTCTGAGCCAAGGGTATCCTTGGGGCTTGCAGTCACGCGCGATGTACGACTCTCTCGCAGATTCTTCATACGACACTGCTAATATCGACAAGACGACCTTCACCTTCACCTGCTCTTCGACATTACTTCCACCAACACCGGCTCCATCCTCCGCTACATCAAGTTCGCTATCTCCGAACACTGCCACTGCCTGGCCGTCCTCACATATTCTTCACCTCTCCCTCCTCCGTTATCCGATTCGAATTCGACTCCGAAGCTCGTGCCTAAACCTCTACAATATCCGAACTGTCAGTTACGCTCGAGAGTATTATCGCCGTCCAAACGAAACTAGCTCGCTCATCAACCTGAAACATCGCCGGTGTTCCTGCAGAGGTCGAACCTGTTCGGTCGATAATCTCCTGGGATGGACGGCATGCATAGAGATTCGGCGAATAGGCCGGGAGGTCACGGTGAGTTTCGGTTCTGCCTCTTTAGTGTACAATTTCTGGCTCTTTGTCCCGATCGTCGGACGTAGCACCTATATGCTCGTGCAAGGAGTCTTCTGCATCGCGTCTGGTCTGTCGTAGATGCAGATCTGGGCCTCTGCCCTCGTCGCAAATTTCAGCGAACGTTGAATACGTACCACCATGCTGCCATGATCGTGTTCTGTGAAAAGGATTCACTCTGGTTATGGACTGATCGACTTGTTTCTCACCTCCTGTCATTCTTCGGCGTGATATCGCTTCGCGTTCAGCAGGTGTGCTGTCTTCTCTTTCGTCCCTATCTATTTGTTTGCCCTATCAATTCCTCCCTTATACTCATTCATCATAGTTTCGTACGCTGACAACTCCTCTCTTTTGATATGGAATTTACTCGCAAGACGACGACATAAAAACCTATATCCGCCCCAGCCGCTTCTCGACTCGACTATCTCCGATTGCCTCCACTTCTGCCATTCGAACTCCGCGACTATGGTCCTCTTGAATGCGCGGACGAACGGACCGTCACTGGGCCGGAGTTTTGGGTCGCAGAGAAACATCGCATGAGTAAAGCATAGAAGCCAAGAGACGCGAGTGCGGGAGCATTGATGTGGAGTGTGCGACGGGCGAGGTAAGACAAGTGAAGATACGAGGTTGGAACCCGTTTGGGTGTTCTGGTCGCGTGCATAAGCTAGATTGATCGGAGTAATGGGAGAGATAGTGATGAGGTGGCATGGGAAGGAGTGACGGGAGGAGGAGACGTTTCGCGGGACCAGGCGAAAAGGACAGGAGTTACAGGGTTGACGGGTTTCATGAGGAAGGCAGAGCAAACAGACGTTGTGTACGAGGATAGCCACGAGGAGAAGAGTAAGACGAAGAGTCAGGCCCATCTGCGGAAAACGACGAGGGTGGCGATCCAACGACGTGACATTGTCGTACCGTCGAGTATACACGGCCTGAGGGGTGTGATGCAGGACGAGAAGGCTGTTGGTGTGCGCGATGGGTGCGTGGAGATATGCGCGTATTGTTATGGTCTGTTCCGGTCCGTCCTCATCTCTATCTCCTCCTTCCCCCACGACTGCCCCGGCATTTGCTCACCGCTAACATCTTAACATTTTCCAGATTTGTACAAATATCGTCCACTTGATCCCTCTCGATTTCATCAGTAGACCTCGGTCAATCCCATCATCCCATCCACCCCCTCCACGTTTCCCTCGACGTCGTTTCATAAAGAAGATCCTAGTGTTCTCGATGAACGCGTATTCGGAACAATCAGTAGAAAATGCATGCTTGGGACTCTGAGTGGTACGACTATGCTTTGGCTACGGTCAAGGGGCGATCGACCGTCAACGCTCGTATTTTTTCTTGGGGAAGTTGGCGCTCGACAAGGCCATGCTTTGAATATGTAGGAATGATTTGAGTCAGCCATAATCATTTCCTACGCCGATATAATGCTTAAGGGGCGGGGGAAGGAGTGCTAGGTGGGTGGCGTAGTGTGGCGCCGCAAGCGAGATTGGGTCGAAGTCGTAGCGGTGCTGCATCGTATCTGGGCCCACGCCAAGTATACCGAGGACAGAGCACCATCACCACCAGAGACCGGATCACCCATAGCTCCTCCAACGATGCGAGTTCCGAGCGAAACCTCCTACGCGAACTCGGCAATACCGCACAATGCATCCATCGCGTACCCCCTTCCGGTGTTCATCAAAAAGCAACGCCACGACCTCCCTGTATACCCTATCCATGAAATCCACATCGCACTCGACAATCATTCGGGAATATCCAGATGACTCGATTGTCCCTAGCAGTGCAGAACCGTCCCCTTCATGGTCAGGAGTTCAAGTATAGAGCTGGCAATTTTAGTTGAACAACAACGCTGTGCTACAGGATTGAACCGCCGTTACTCTCTCTCTCTCGCCCAGTCGGGATTAAGATATTCTCAACTAGGACAGTTCGTCTTCTTCTATGATGTCTCTTCATTCACGCGATACTAAACCTTGGACCCATTGAGACCCGTTGCATCAGCCGTCTCCCATCGGCCTGGGTTTCACTCAGTTAGTGTCCATAATCTCTTGGCAGCGAAGGCGATGCCCAAAATGGGAGGCTTATAAACATGTATCCGAAGCTGGATTAAGATTGCAACAGACTTCCCCTGTACCATTTTCTCTCTTGTAGTCGATACCTTTCAAATTCTCTATGCAGCTCAAAGGTACTTTCCCTCTTCGTTTTTTGTCCCTCTGTCATCAAATAACTAGCTCTTATAGCGCTTCTCACCGCTGCTCTTCTCTCTGCAATGACGGAGTCGATTCAAGCCTCCAGCCTCACCAGGCTTGCGAAGCGTGCGCCGACCTGTGACGAGGGTGTCGGGACTGCCTGCACGGTCGCAGATGCGAACAATTGTTATGCCGGGATCGTAAGTCGTCTCTTCTTCGCTATCTCCTTTAGAACGACGTTCGACTATGAGATTTCGCTCCACAGGCTGTAAGTGACCTCACCGAGGACGAGGACGGTCGCCAGCAGTGCTCCGGGATCATCTCAGACTCCGTCAACGATTGCAGCGTACGTTCCCTACCCTCACCTCTTATTACCATAATATACTGTGCTGATGTCTTTTATCTGGGCGGCAGTGTTCGTGCGACTGCGGCGATGGGTCTTTGTTTGATAGTTTACAAGACTTTGAGGATACCTTTGACGCGATCATCAACACCTGCATCAACGCTGCGGAACCAGGTAGGCCTCTCTGTATGCTGTTTTCTGGAGGGAGAGAGCACTGACGCAGAGCGGGTGTGTAATAGGGTCCAACACGTACGTGGGCGGCTCGAGCACCGTCACTTGTACCGTCACATGAACGTGTTCAACTTCAGAGCCTTAGTTGCTTTGATACAGAGGAACACACCTGCAGTTACTGCGCTCACCATGCTCTTCATGCCTTGTAGTCTGAACGACGACTGTATATTTAACACTGTTTTATGATGTATGAACCCAGATTTACTCTTGTTGTCATTTCCGACGCGGTCGGCTACGATGACGAGTGACCGGCTGGGAGCGCAATAGCTATGTCTGCATTGAGTATCGGCGACGGGAATGAGAGCGACTATGTGCGTACCAAATTGATCCATATTGACCAAGGATTGACGAAGATTATGCAAAGTTGAGTCTTGTTCTAGGGCCTCCTATAAATTGGGTGGGTCTCCGATTCCTATTCGCAAGGCCGACTGCTGTAAAAGCCCGGAGAACTATGAATTCTTCGCGTACTTTACTATGGCTTGAGTGGCAAGATTGGCCCTGCCGAGCTTGTGCGATAGTGTTTAGTATGGTCCCCAACTATATTTCTGTGTTATTCGTCTGAATCAGGCTGTGACCGGTCCATATTCTGCTCGCCCCTCACCGTGTGCTCATGCGTCTATTCCTTACTTTCTGGATTTTTGGTGGTCACGGAAAACGAGAACTGATCATCAACAATTTCGCCGCTCGGTAAGCATTGGGACCACGTCTAGTACGAAATTCCAAGAAGTATAGTAAGGACCCGAAGTACACTTAGATATTTCGTATGGGATCTCCTTCTACCGGTACGAGAGATGTCTGAGAGATAGACTCGGAGTGAAACGGGATACGTTTGTGAGCAACAACGGGCGACCCTGCGCTCTGCTCGAATCTGGTTATCGAGAGGGAGGACATGCGTGAACTCGAGTCCACTCGAATTTGAAGGTCGCGAGGGCCGAGATCGAGTGGAGGAAGTAAAGAACTGATTCTTCCGCTGTTGTCATCATGCGACTCGATGGCGTAAGGGGGATAAGCAGAGGACGGTGTGCTCGGGTCCATTGGTGGAGGTGAATCCGTGAGTGTACGGCGTTCTCGCACCATTGGGGATGCAAGAAGTTGCCGTATGGAGGTGGAAGGAGATAGAAGTTGGGGAGGGAGATCGCGTCCGACACTGGGCGTATTGAGCGTGGATGGGCGTGGTGGATTTCCTCGGTGACGAAAATAAGGATGCTCGTTGTCTGGGAGTGAATCTACGGGTGCAAGCGACAATGGTTCTCTATGAGCGTGCGGTGAAACGGGTTCTGTCATATGTCGCCTTGGTCTATTGTCCTCGGCAAGGAGTAAGCGCGAAGAGCCGGCTGTGTTATGTGGAAGGTCATATGAAAATGATGGGAGAGAATTGATGGGTTGAGGACGCTGGTCAACTCCATCAGCAATTGTCCCGTAAGTTTCGAGAGTCGGTGTAGTCGTGTGAGTTTGTGGAAGGGGAGGATGGCTGCGAGAGTGGCTAAGAGTTTGTTCGTGATCGGTTGGCGAAGGGTGGGAAGATGGATTCACAGTGGCCGACTGTAGGAGCGCAACATCTTCACCGATTCGTGACATGAGAGGTGCGGAAGAAGCGTCAAGGTTCTCTGCACTAGCAGCATGCAAAGCACTCTCCTCATCCGGGGCTAGTCTGTATGGGAGAGGATCGCCAATTCCCGCCACCACGAACCGAAGCTCGTCCCAGCAGCCTTTCGGCAGGTCCGTTATAAACTCTATGATAGTGCGACGACTCTTCCATATGAGGTATATAGTCGAGCCGAGTGGGCCGAGAACAATTCCGAGAGTGACGACCTGACAGAGAAAGCCTGATCATCAGCATGCAACGGCAGAATTTTGTTTGAAGTGCTTACCTGGCCATATGTCAGAATATAAGAACCTTTCGGTCCCGATGCAAGTATCGCACGTTTGATGATACTCCATGACCAGAGGGCATGAAGGGCCAAGGCAAACATATAGAGAATCCATGTATGTGCTTCCGAAATCGTGGTACTGTAGAACTTATAAGCGTGCAGAAATGACAGGCCAAACTCACTGAATAAAACTCACATGTACAGTCCTATCAATTCAAAATAGTAGGACACTCCGGAGCGAGATCTCCTCTCCGCTTGTCGGATACGATGTTGTTGGTGAATGTATCTCCGGTGACGGATGCCGTATGAGACGAACACCGCGAGGCAAGCAAGCAATACTATTTGCCACGGATAGTCCAATGGCGGAGGGAGCCCAACCAGATAACTGAAACTGTTTTCAAGCCATTCCTTGAAGGCAGTATCCCTGCATAGGTAGCTGTCCAGATAGGCTTCGGACGACAACGACTGAATAAGGCTGAGTGAAAGCCACAGAACGGGAAAGGTTATGGACAAGAGCGAGATAATTCGCCTTGAGAGTGTGCCCTTTATTCGGCGAAAGATGAAGTTCGTGCCCCCGGAACAATCGTCGATTGAACGGCTTAGAAGATCGTCGATCGCGCAGATGAGAAGAAGGATGGTGAATGGTGATGCAGTAGCGACTAGAGCGAAACCGACGTCAAATAAAGACAGACTACAGCTCCGATAACTCCACAGGCTGGCTATTATGATGGGGTATTGTTGGAGCAGTAAAGCATATATCTGCGCGGCGTTGTCCTTTTTTGACCACGTTATAAGAAGGGCTACCTCGGCGTTCGGTATTCATAAGTCGTATCCAAACTCGGTCAATAGGATGGCGACTTACGCAAGTACAGACTCGTCACAACGGCTACGAATAATGAACGGATGTCAACGACGGAAGTATGTCAAGAGATGACCGGATAGCTCACTACCAACAGCCACCGCGGTTCCATCTATATCGACATTTCCTGAGATAGGAGTATGCTGGGCCGTCGTGCAATTCCTGTGGGTATCGTTGGCGGGAACGTAGACCGTGTTAGGGGCCGGGCAGACCCAAAAGCCTGACGTGAAATTGGGTGTCTGGACAAGGCTCATCACAGCGTTGTGCGAAGCAGGTGGAGTTCGTGGGGTGTGTTGACAAAGAGCATCCCGGTCCATCTCTTATTAGTCGTAGCATGAAGCGCCGTCACATAGCAAGCGGTGCTTCCAACAGTTATTGATATCACTCCGTCTCCTAGTCATTACCACGCTCGCAGCTACTCACCGCTATAGGAAATGTTGAGTCCCATTCTGAGCACAAAGAGTGCATATATAGCATATGTCTGATGTTGTTCGGGTCGAGGGACAGCAATGATGATATAGACCTTATTTGGGAGACACAGCCTCCCATTTTATTGTCTATTTCCCCAGATGCATGTGGATGAAGCGGTGCGGCGATGATCCCAGTCCGTCAGAACAGCCTGCAGCAGACGCTGCGCTTCAAAAAAGTGCGAGTAACGTCAAGCCGAGTAAGTGGAGTACACATCGCAAAAAGCGAACAATCTGATAGCGAACATCTGACCATACGGAGGAAGAGACAAACAGATAGATAGACCGTAATAGAAGATACTCAGCTCAGAATGTCGGACAAGGCGGGAAATGCAGCGGACACCCTCCACTCCAATTATGTGTCATAGCCGTCTTCGCCGACGCTGCGCACAGAAAAACAGACAAGAATCAGCACCCGACGTTCATACACGCACTGAAACAAAAGTAGAGTTAAGAAACCGCCACTCACCTGCATTCCTGGACCACAAATTCCCCGTGATACTCGTCACCGCCAGATTACAAGCCTTCACCACCTCCGTCCTATCCTCCTTATTCGCCTCAACCCCCATCCTCTTCAGAATATCAATCCCACCAGCCTTCATGATCTCCTTCCTAATGGCCCCGCCGCCGACATCTCCCAAGAAGCTCACTGCTAACGCTAACTCAACATGTACCTCATACTCCTCTCTACCCTTTTCCTCCCCAGCCGTCCTCAGGGCCGCCAGCAACGAATCTACAACTCCCGCTTCGACCAAGGCTTTTCGAGTTCCAGAGCCCCATTCGGCGCACGAGAAACGTTGGATGGCGAAAGCAAAGCCTGCAAGCGGTGGGACGCAGGTACTGGGGAGAACGCGGGGAATTCGAGCGAGACCTGGTGCGCAGTTGGCTTCGAGGAGAATTTTGGACATGTCGGAGGAGTTTGGACGCATGAGGCAGCCGATCGCGCGGGATGTGAAGAGGAGGATCTGGGGATCATCGGAAGTGTTGAGAAGGTCGGCCAAGGGCTCAACACAGCCTGCCTTTGCGAGGGCTTTCGACTATGGCAAGTTTGAAGTACGATTAGAGTTCACGCCTTTAGGGTGGAAAGAAGGTGAAGGCCTCACCAATTTGATCGACCTTGCCATCCTAGCAACCCCATATACCGCCGCGCAGACATCGTCCACGTCATACTTGCCCTCAATACTATAACCCCTCCACACCTTCTTCAAATGTCCCACCATAGCTTCCACTGTCCCGAGCGTAGCCAACATATTCGCCAATTCATCCGTCCACACCAATCCACCCAACAACCATGCTGTATATCGTGAAAGGACCGGACTATCCGATAGTAAAGGCTGCGTCATGAGTAGTGTCGGCAATGATCCAGACGGCAGTAGTTTCGTGTTGGAGAGGGAGGACGCGATATCGGATGTTCGACAAATGCGAGTCAGACACCAGAGTGAGAGTGACGCGAGTGGTGGTGAGGATAAGCAGTGATTGGAGAGAATTTCGATGAACGTCGTAGTCGTGTTCGTGCGATAGATCGTGTTGCAGCTTAACGAATCCACTCTACCGACATAAAATAATCAACATTGACAGTCATGATGATAAGCAAAAATAATAAACGCACGATAGTATCCCCAGCGTGGCCAAAACCGGCTCTAACCCTACCCCATCAGCAGCTCGACTTTTTAACAACTTGATCAATGTATGCACAACACCAGCCGTGATCAGCTTCTGTGCGTCCTTGTCCGACTGCATCGCGTATTGCTGGATCGCGTACAACCTGCTATCAATCACTTCTGCCTGTCGATTGTCCGCTACTTCTGTCTGCAGAGCGCCAGCGAGGAGATTCGGGCTTGGACGACCTGTACGCCCGCGTCCGTATCAGTACAGTTCACGTCGCGATGACGGAAAGACGACAAACGTACCCCGAGCTCCTCCTTCTCCGCTACCTCCCTGACTACTCTGCACGTCCGACATTCCCCCAATCTCACTCCTCGCCACCGAACTCCCACCCATCATAACACTCCCCGCATACCCAGCTCCAGCCGGTACCCCCAACGTCTGTCCTTGTCCCTGCCCCTGCGCCACACCGAACGCCCCGAATCGCTGTTGTTGAGATTGCAACCCGTACGCCGACGTAGGACTCTCACTGCCACCTCCACCCTCCTCCTCGCGTATCGAGCCACTGGTCTGGAACGTCAATGCATGCGGAGGTGCCGAGCCCGGGATAGAGGGCATATACGACGATCTGTTCGGTCCGTAGCTCGAGCTGTATACCGACGAAGTGTCTGAGTGGGGATAGTTGTAGTTGTTGGTCCCGGGATCAGACGACATGCTCATGATGCGAGGATTCTTCCGATCTCCGTAGGCTGAGTAGTCTGCGTAGTTCAACGAGGGCGGTGCGGGCGACGGCGTGTTTCGGAGGCCCAGCTGCTGCTGATGTTGGTGCTGTTGATGCTGGAATTGTTGTGGATGGAAGGAAGCCGCGGACGTAGGTGGCATCGACCCGAACTCGTTTATCGTCGATTTACCATCGGACGGTGCATATGACTGAATCCTTGACCCCGACCACGAGCTCGAACTCATATAACTCTGTCGTAAATTCGGATTCGAGCTCGAGCCCGATCCCAAACCGAAACCCAACGTCGACTGTCGATTCTGGAACGCCAATGGCACCGGGGCGATTGGTGGGCTTTGGTTTGCGGAGCGTGGCACGAGCGAGGCGGGATGTGGCGATAAGGTGCCCGAACCTGATGGCGGTCGACTAGAGCCAGGAACAGGACTTGGACTTGGACTGGTGGACGATGCCCGAAATTCGTACGCGGGTGGCGGTGGCGCGGCGGAGGGGTCGTCGTTCGTTACTCGCATGACGGAGGGAGTGTTCGGATTGTGGCCGAATACGGAGGTTTTGCGGGTTGGTGGTGAGCGGGAGTTACCTGCGATGAACAATAGCAGACAAGTGAGAAAAATATGAGCATACCCTTCAATGTTTGGCTAGGAAGGCGAACGATGACCTACCGAAAACGTTCTTTCCACCCGTACTGGACCCAGCTGAACCCGCACCCGAACTCATACCCACACCAGAGCTCGCACCGGCCACAGCATCCTCAGCGACCAACACCTCATCCCTCTCCCTCATTCCCTCCCTCCAACCCTTCACCCACCCCTCCGCGCTCCCTCTCTCCTCCGCATCCTGCTCCCAGCCCCTCTCGATCACTCTCCACATCCCGTCTCCTAGTCCATTCCACCGAGCTTGTTCGGATGAGGGTCGATCGGGACGCATGGATTCACGGACGACGAGCTGAAAGACTTGGGATTCGGAGAGGACGCCCCAGGGTGGTGTGGAGGTGAGGATTTCGTACGTTGAGAGGGCGAGGGCGTAGATGTCTGATGCTGGGGAGGTTGACTGATAGGGTTGAAAAGGAGGTCAGTTCATGGACGATGTCAACGGCGAAGATGATCGATATAGCAAAAGCGAAATCACGGTCGAAAATATGCACCAAAACAACCACCCAAATAGACCATCATCTCCGCGATCCACATCGACGAGGAGACACATATGCCCTCGAAGATCGAATCACAGAGATACCGCGCAAGACACAATATGAAGGCACAACAGAAAACCAAGCCCGAATCGCACTTACCCCTTTCCAAGCCTCCGGACTCCAATACCTCCACGCCCCAACACACGTACTCGGCACGATCTCCACCATCCCATAATCAGCGATGCAAGCCTCGCCACTGTCGTTGATCAGGATGTTGGTAGGTTTGAGCGAGCCGTGCGTTATTCCTTGCTGGAAGACGAACATCGTGCGTGGAGATGGAGAGGGAAGTAACATGGAGATTAGATGGGATGATTGGGACGAGGGGTGAGGGAGTAGAATTGCGAACCGAGTGTAAATATGCGAGACCGAGAGCCGTTTCGAGGACCTGTGAAGTATCGAAGGTGGTCAGTATCTGTCAGTATGAGTCAGGCTGTACTAATGCAGACAACTACTCGCAAGCGAGTCAGAGGCATTTGCGTCCACCCGCCATGGATGCAAGTGACTACATGAAAAGGAAGCGATCGTCTGGTCACGGATGAGAGGACCATCGTAAAGATGTGAGGGACAAGTATACGCGTTCCAATTGGAGACACGGGTGGCGCTACTAGCGTTGAACTAGCTTAAATATGGTATACATTCTTGTGGCTCTCTATTCGTGCGTTAGACTAGGAGCATGAGCACTGCGCGATTCATTGTCGACCATATTCCGAGTATGCACTACCCGATTCGCCTGTATTATCCCCAAAAGCCTTGAAACACCGCCTATCTTTGGGAGCCCCCATCATAACCGCAGCAGAACGTCCATCGACGACATCAGAGCCCTAGCAAGCGAAGACGGGGGAGTTCGCGCAGAATCATGCGCGGACTGCCCTGACGCGAAGGACAAACATAAACGTCCCGACACGGGCGCTACTAACGGTGAACCAGGCGGAATGTGACTTAGAATAAATTTATGTAGCTCTCTGCTCGTGCGTTAGATTGGGACTACGACGATTGAGCGCTTCCTAGGTGCCGATATCCCGAGTATGCACTACCTGATGCAACTGCATTGCCCTCCGAAGTTACTAAAAGATACCTCCTGTCTGGGGGAATCTGTATCGTGGGCTCATCGTAAGCTCAAGAGAGCGTTTAGCAAGCCGAGTCTGTGCAGTCCGTGCAGCATCGTGTGCGGACTGCCCCCATAACCCGATACGACACCCAGCTCACGCTAGAAGCGTGCATGGAGTAGCCAAAGCAAGGCATCGGGACAACGCCCTAGGACCTCGTATAAGCCTCAATAAGATAGCATCGCACTCCAGAAAGGGATTCCGGACAGACAACGCGAAATACGCACAAAATGGAAGCACCGAAATCAAAGCGAAAAACACGGATCACGGAACGATTGGAAGAGAGACTGACCAACTGTGCTCTGTCCACCTTTGGTTCTGTACCCTGATTCGCTTTGACGTACTGCATCACGCAACCCCTATCCATGTATTCCTGCACTACAAAAAGTGGATCGGCATCGAAAGGCGAGAGGCCGAAGATCTTGAGGAGGTTGGGATGGGAGAGGGCGCAGAACGTTTCTATTCGCTGGAGGATGTGCTGTGGATGGTTGTACCGAGGTTCGAATCACATTCTGGACGAGGAAGGGGGCCGGGGACGTACTTCATAATCGACCGTAGTATCCTTCAACAACTTGACCGCCACAACTTTCTCTCCTTCGCCATCCTTCGTCCACGTTCCACGATATACCGAGCTCGTCTTCTTGCTAATACCCAAGACTGCATTCGGATCAGCGGTAATGTCTTCGATGGGGAGAATCGCGCGGGAATTGTACGGCGTTGGTAGATGCTGAGGGGAGGAAGGAGACTCGGTATGCATTGGAGAGTGTGGGTTGAGGGACATCGAGGCGAGAACGGTGTCGAGGTCGAGGGTAGTTTCATGTTCGTTAGAGTCTTCGCTTTGAGGAATGCTCGGAGGGTCGTCCATCGCAGGTACAAGAGGATGGTAGAGAGTGAACAAGGGCTATGATGACCTAAAGTGAGACAGCGGCGTATAAGGCTACACTACTTTTGCACTGCTTGATCAAGGAGATGGATACGGACAGACCGGGCGAAGGGTTTCATGGCCCAACAACCTCTCTGATAGGCGCCCTATGGATATGTTGCAGCGCTTCACGCACGCCATCATACATATAGGAGACTGGCCCATCATTCCTGGCTTTCGCGGCCACCGGCCATTTGTAGCCCTGCTGGACCAAATCAAACCTCTGTAGAGTCTCGTCGACGAAAGTGGCGAGTTTTTGGTTTCCGATATGGAGACATTATAGTTGATATCGTTTCTCAGAAACAAACGAACAGAGAACGAGGAATTATCGCAGACGTCGATCTCCTCGTGTATGATCTCTTCGGCGCATGCCGGAAGACTGTATATAGTGGTGCCACACCTGCCTAGCGCCACATCCCAGCTCTTCTCCCACCTTCCTCCTAAACGCAATGAGCAGCTCTCGTACTACGCAAGCCTTTCTTCAGCGTTTCCCTAATGTTTCTGGATTTGTAGCTTCTTTTTCCTCTTGAACCCTTCCGACAGCTTTCGCGCTCATTACAATGAACAGGCTGCCAGAGCACCGGCGACAACGGCAAGGTAGCCATCGAATCGGACACCCCCATCTTTCTCAAGTCTTCCTTGCCCGATGACCGCTGTGTCCTGTCAGGAGCCCACCGCATAAATTTTCCTCGTAGCAATGCTACTTGGACGACTTAAGAGTTCATGAAGCCCTATTTCTCTGGCATCCGACATACGCGGGCATTACTGCGTGAGGAAAGTCGGTTTGTCCCTAGTAGAACCGGGAACTGCTTGAACTGCACTAGCATCCACGAAAAGTTTCGTCACCGTGACTATACCACTTCTTGAACCCACCGCTTCGAGAGCACTCGTCGACCTACATGTATGTCCAGTCGTCTTATGCAGCCGAGGGTTTGTTCGACATAATGTGCGCCTGATCTGCATCATCGGATATGCATTCGACAAACTCCCAGCCATGCCCTTACTTGCGCATAATCACGAATATGACCTCGAAAGACCTGATATGTAGCCATTCCTGGAATGGTGCGTGCTCGGTGATAGGTGTGGCGACAGCTGCATAAGTCACAAAAGCAGACGTTAAATCGCCATCTGCAGTTTCTCGACACATCGCCGTGTACATCGCTTGTGCTCTGTATACAAAAGCACAACAGAGCAGAAAGTATCAATCCTAATATGTTCTCCGTAAGAATGTCACGCTCGATTTCCCGGCCGCAACTTACCCAACCAATAGAGCAGTGGAAATTATTTTCTCGTCTATATAAACCCCCCTCACGACAGTATGGATTATTCAGCTCACCAAGCATCTTCTACCCATCCATCTCTCATCCATTGAAATTCACAATGCAGTTCTCATTCACCGCTCTTGCTCTCATCTTTGTCTCCACCGTGAGCTTGGCCGCTGCCCATGCAAACGCCGCTCCGCCAATTGCACGAAGCCCAGGACGCGCCGTGGAGTACAATGTTGTAAGTACAATCTCATAGAAAAGGAGAAACCACCTTCCATCTGTCGTTCCACTTCCTTGAATGAGTATTAATCAATAAACCGCAATGCATAACACTGTATTTTACAGGAGGTTGAAGATGGTCTGTACAAGAGGGACGAAGCCGTTCACTACTATAGCGTGGATGATGACGAGACGAGAGCGAGTGACCGTTGAGTATACGGGCATACCAGAAACGTGTACGCTCGACTTTACCGTACCTCAGTTGGTGAAGGCCTTCAATTGCTAATTCTACGATCTTCAGGAACAACTTGCGGAGTCCGGGTAGTCATGTCGTTGTATGAGTGAAATCAGGTGTAGGGAAGGAGGTAACGAATCACGATACTGACTGAAGTGTCTTTTGTTTGGGGAACCTTTTTGGTTATAATCCGATATGACTGTTATGAGTTCGTCGGTACAACATTGTGGGCCAGGATTTTCGATACCCACAAGTTTTATGCACCAGGCGGCGTGAAAACATATGATCAGAAAGTGCCGGACTCACATTTAGAATCTGGTAGAAATTGAGCACAATAATCGAGAAGAAATGTACGGATATATCAGTGCTACGTACCCAAGAGCGACCAAAGCTATTAGGCTCGACGAGAGGTTGTATTACACAGTACCCAAGGCACACTCGAGCCTCCACACCATCATCGATGTCGAAGAGCAGGTGTATCTCGTCTGAACAGCGGTCCTGCATAGCTGAGCGCGGTATTGGTGGTAACATGTGAGTAGGAAGAAGAGAATGGTACATACATGCCCAACCTCGTCTTAATCCAGATTATAGATACGTATCGTACACACGCTACCTGCAAATGTCAAAGCTTTTCAATCAGTATCAGACGCGCAAAGCTTTGCTATAGCGCTCTCACATTGATGCCCCGGTGTCCGTCAACGTTCAGGATATCGCTCACTCGTGCGAACTTGATATTTAAATCGGAAGCGTAGAAAATAAATAACTCATGATGTACAAGCAGCGTACGTGATGAGTCGAGAGCCTCGAAGTACCGCACGGAGTTCCAGAGTCATAACTTGTGGTATATACAATCGGCCTTTGAATTGGTTACTTACACGGAGAGACGCCAGCGTACAGAATACGACAGCCAGCATGAGCATCCTCGAATCGTTTATAGATTATCTATCCGTCACAATTTGATGACCATTCTTCCCACAAGCGTCCCAGCTTCCATTTCGTCGAATATCCTGTGGGTTACGGAGCATCAGGTCTCGATCGGAATTGTCAAGAAGGTTACAGAGAGATGGAATGTACTCATTGATCTCTTCGAGCCTACGAAGCGTAGCATGGACCTTGACCTTTCCGCGCGCGAGAAGATCGAGGGCTTCGGTGGCATCTTGGAAAGAGCTGAATATAACGTGTAGATGTCAAAATCGCAGGAAGATGATGAGCAAAGCATGTTCAGTCGGACATATTCCATGGAGCACGACGAGACAGGGAGAAGACGTACCCGACGCTCGACCCGACTATTCGCAAGCTCTAAAAGAATGTAGGCGATAAATAACGAAAGCGGGATAAATAAAACGATGGCCTAAACTTACTCTCGCGACCATCAGTAAAACTGGGACACCGAGTACGAAGTTCGTAGGCATCCCTACGGTCACGAGCGTCCCTTTTGGACGAAGATACCACAGAGACTCGTTATACGCACTCGGCTTCGGGCAGGAAATGAGATAGCACACGAAAAAATGATGTTATCTGAGTCTGGTACAGTCATTGTTTGATGAGACAACTTACCGAAGGCGAGACGACCACTGCCGCATGCGCGCCTACACCACCACACAACTTAATGATCTCTTTGGCCACCGGTGTGACAGGCCCGGCTGGCGACTCTGCATCTAGTGGAAACTCCTTGAAGTCGATGAAATGTTCTGCACCAGAGGCGAGACAGACAGCTTTCTTTTCTGCGCCAGTGTCTGGTGACGTTATGGTTCCATAGAGGAAAGATGAGAGACGAAAGACCTAACATCATGTGTCAAGCACGACAAAGGACTCACCAATTGCGAGAACGCGGAGACCCATCGCCACTGCGAACTGGATGGCTGTATGGAGACGATGCGTGAAAAAATAGTTTAACGAAGCTATACATTGCTGGCCACAGTAAATAGATAACGCAGAGCACTCACCGAGATGTCCAAGGCCTCCGCCTGCTCCTGGAACGACAACCCAATTCCCTACGGTGGTGTTCGTCTTCTTGAGAGCTGAGTATACCGTAAGACCCTAAATCCAGAAGTGAGAACGTGATCAGGGCACTGGGACAATCACACGGAATAGAGAGAGAGGAAACCCGATGTTTGCATCAGGAAAACAAGTGGTGCGGAGACGTACAGCGCAGAGAACAGATACCGCTTCGGGTGAGGATACCGATGGTGGAATCGGAATGACATTATTTGTCCATGCTACCTGAATGTATCAAATCGATTCAGAAACTGAAGGCAGATGGGAAAGCGAGGCGGAACGGACCATATACTCAGCAAATGTGCCATCGGCACTGTGTCCACCATTGACCGTCTGCGAACACACTATCATCAAATATAAGTCAACGTCTAGGAACAGAATCACGCGATAGAACAAAGAGAACATATACTCACACGAATCATCCCCGCTCCTACACAGTTCGCACCTCGCACACGAATTGACACACCATTTCACACCGACCCTATCTCCAATGTCGACACCTCCCTCACTGCCGACCGCAACAATCTCTCCGATCCCTTCATGTCCAGCCACTACCGGAAAGTCTTTCGTTCCTGGCCATTCGCCTTTGCGAACGTGCAGGTCTGAATGACAGCATCCTGCGAAAGCCATCTTGATGAGGCATTGGTTTGAGGCAAGTGTCTTCGGTTCCGGGACGGGGTGGGTAGTGGTAAGAGTATAGGGAGAACCGAAGGTCGTGATAACGGCCGCACGTTGTGTTGCGGGAAGTGGTGATAACGCAGTTTTCAACGACATAGTATATAGGACGTTTCAATTGTTGTGAGCTGTGTTGCTAGAGAGGGAGGCGGGGGACAAAGCGAAGAAGTGGGCCTTCATAAGAAGCGGCAACGTACGAAGTGGATCCACTAGATATAGCAACGAAGTTAGGAGAGATCGGCAAACCGCAGTGGTGAGCAAAGTGGCGTAGTCAGTGGAGAACCTCTGACCATTACCTTCTTCATATGTACAATTGTCTCCTATAGATCATATGATGATATCGCCCGCCGCGTGGGATTGAAAGTCGCCTTCTACCAGCAGATGTATGTAGTAGAGCGAAGATCTGATGAGAAAAAGGCGGCATACAAAGACGTTCGAGATGTGCGAGAAGGCGGAACGCGCCATCTAAGCGGTCGTGTAGCCGCGGGTCTGCAGGATCCGATACAGACCGCACCAATTTCTGGACAGGAGATGTAGTAAGTCGTTATAGATACAGGCTTGGTTCACGCTACACATAAAATATGGCTTACCTCTATGCAAGATGGTGGCGAAAGCGACACCGCGAACCAAGGAATATAGGGTTGGTCTAAAATATGGACACCACGTTGATGTCTCTACCCGCGCATCGCGCGCTGGAAGGCTGATCGCATTACAGAGCCGCTCGCACTACTCGAGCGATTGAGTCTAGAAGACACTTGCAATTAGAGAATTGGAGTAAGTGCCGTACATAAAAAGCACCTCGCGGAGATCATCGATAAGGAGTGGTACTAGGATCTCGACGGTGCTTTGAATAGGAGGGTCAAGGGTAGAGGTTTTGGCCTGGTTTGTTGGTGTCTTGGATCAGCATCGAACCCAAGTAGTCATGCAGTCGAATTAAAAGACTCGCGAGCACAAAAAGCAATCGTGGAATGCGTCAGATACCTTCGAAATGCCAGAGACGTCGATGTTTCATAGTTTGCACGACACACCAAAGCAAGTGAATAGCCAGCGCAGGACGGTGCTAGCACAACGTGGCAGAGATATACGAAGACTTCACTCACCGAGGAATGAAGTATAGGCGCGCACTAAACCTTTATGTTTAGCGTCTGTCCCTCGAGAGTCCGTGACCATCCGACTACGGTTCCACTACATCACTACGAAACGGACTTACTCTCTGCGGACCTATGGTGTGACTCACCAGGGTATATTTGATTCAATGATGCATGGGGGTGCCGTGGACAGGCGGAAGCTAGGAAGGCTTCGCGAAAATAAAATGAAGCGTGCTTGACTATACCTCTCTTTTACTGTCCGGCAGTTCGGAGAAAAATTGTGCGGAACGCAAGACTACTTATATTAGTAGTCGAATCCAATGGCGAGTAGTTATCATGATAAGCTATGACGGAAGACATACCCATGAGTAGTATGCAGCAAGCTTTGAAGTATTCAGAAGTCCGGTGGATGATGTCACCAAGGTCTTCGTGCAGGCGCACAGCCTGGCCACAGCTGCGACGGTTTCCTCCTGACTTATTCATCGCGGTAATTATCCACCTCGGCGCAAAGTCAAAGAACAGTAATGGATGGAAAGAGGCTCACATTAATACTTAGAGCAATAAACGTCATTTCGGTGTCAAGGTGACTGAGCGTGATGCCGGGGGCGAAGAGAACGCAGATAGAAGGAGTGCTCAAGGCGCAGGTCGACCATTGGGTCAACACGGAAGGGCTATCTTGTTCTACTGGATCGCTGAATACTTCGGTGTGCCAGATCTGCGCGCAGAGAATGGGAGACTAGATGAACCTAGTTGATGATGGTGAGAGTCAGAAACACAAAACGCTCAACCGTGACCATGTTCGAGTTCGGCGGAATTACAGCTTAGAGCCACGTGGCACGAGAAATACTGGACGTGTGGCGTGAATGGTGTGGCGAAACGAATTCGCCAGTGCCCACTACGAGGGAGCAACAACAACATCGATTTTCATGCCCAGCATGTAACATACGTGTGCGTAACAGGGAGTCCAGCGGGCCAGTCTAATACCGTATCATACGGGTATAGATTATGTATGTTATGTCTAGGGATCGCAGATGGCACAATAAAAGAGTGTGTGTCTCAATGGCGTAGGCTAGCAATGCAGGAGATGAGACGGAAACGGAGACTAGCAGTGGGTGAGGATACGACGAGAGGAAGGTGGTAACGATGTCAAGGGATTCTCAAGAAGGGGAAGGTGAGGATTATGTCCATGGAAGTCCGGAAATTGAAAAAGAAAGAAGATAGACTATGATACATATACAAATGCAGGACGAGGAAGGGTACGAAGGGACGAGACGAGACGAGACGAGACAGAGAAAAGAAATCCGAGTACAAGAGACTTAGCATATCTAACCAGAGAACGTGAACGCAGTAATGTAATGTCTAAAGGAGTGTCGAGCGAGTGAGCCATGCAAGGTCTAGTATCTATCTACGAAAATCTAGGGTGTAATGCTGTCTAAATATCTAAAGGTATGTTGAAATGTAAGGCGCAGTGTCATGATGATGTCCACAACCACAATGAACCGGAAAGGAAGTAAACCAGGAAAGACAGTAGCAGCAAAAATCGTGAGGATGGGTACAAATGGCCGGAGAGTTGGCGAGAAGAGGAGGCAGTGCGAAGGTGACAGGGAATCAGGAAGAGAAAGAGTGTGGGACGGATTCGAGTGATGATAGGGGATCTGCTAATAGCAGACGAGACAAGGGAGGCAAAAGGTGTGGATAGTTCGATACAGGGCGGGGACTGCGAGACAGAAAGACAGAGATGAGCGAGAAGGAATTCGAAGGAGAAACAGAGAATGGCGCGAAGAGATCGTTTGGTTTTTAATCGGTCGACTCGGCTGCTTCACCACGAAAGCCGAGTACAAACCTCAACGCCTTCACAGGCTGAACACCCCACTCCTCCTTCGTCGGCTCAAGATCGGATTCACGATCACCAATGAGATACTCAACCCTACGGTCAGACCTATCGCGACCGATATGAGTTGCAAAGCAACCTGGAAGCCGGACAGGTAAGATTCTGAGTACCCCTGGGAAGATTCGGAGGCGAAATGCAGAAGGCCGTTGTTGGACAGGCCAGAGGGAAGTTGGAAGAGAATGCCGGTAATCTAGATCGTTGGCCATTCAGATCGCTGGAGTATACCGAACAGAAAAAAGAGACGGACCATGACAACAAAGGCATTTCCGCGGAACATCTTGCCGTAGATATTGGAGATGAAACCCACCGCGAAGCCACTGGTGAACCACGCCAGTCAGTGAATCAAGCGCATGCTTGTGGGATAGCGACGCGGAAACGCACCCAACTGCGGCGCTAACATCGAGCTGGTTTACGAACACGGTGGCCGTGAAATGATTCGTTACCCAGCCGATGCAGGAGATAAGGACGAGCGGCAACTATCAGAGATACGTGAAGAATTGTCAATGAGTATGACGTAGAAGAGAGCGGATGAAAGACAACTTACGATTTCTTTCCGATTCCACGGGGCCATATTCCGGAGACTCAGGAAGATCGAAAACATCGGCACCGTAAGGAATGCTATATGGACAAAATATGTGGGGTACATTAGTACCGTATGCCTCTACCTCCGCGACGGGAGAGAAAACGAACCCCAATACACGCTTGGTGTCTTCCGATACCACAAATCATCCCTATGACTCTCAATACACGTATAGTCCTCGATTCCAACGATGTTCGTGTGGGACACTCGTTGGTAAATCTGAGCACCAAGCGCAAGTCCGAACCCGAAGAATAGAGAAAACATGATAGCAAAGCCGACCCGCACGGCACCTGCAACGATCTGACGTGACGCGAGTTCAAGGGAGCCGATGAGGACAATGAAACCCTAAATCCCGTTGCGAGCGTACGAATTGTCAGTGACGGAGGTCCTGGGGATCTGTGGAAAATGATCATCGAAGAGGAAGGTGTACTCACAGGGAGAATAAGCACGATTGAACTGGAGACGATGGCGGGAAAGCAAAACACTCTCGACGCAGACAGAGCACCGCATAAGAAGCTCATCAATGTCGTCATCGTAATCCTGTTGAAACGATCAGTAAGCACACGGGATCGAGAAGAAACAGTGAAGGATGCTCACTCAAATACATTCGAATACAGCTCATTCCTCGCGGCGATGAGCTGTATGAAGACTACGAATGCTCCTAACGGAAACGATATCAAACTGTCAATCAAACTCCCATTGAATCCCACACTACATATACTCGCGCTCGCCATCCCTCCAAAGAAGATGATAGCCGGCATTCCATAGAACGGCTTCGCCAACATGAGCCTATCCAACTCCTCGCTCGCCTCCTTCACGCTGATCTCGTCGTGCGTGGCCTTCCAATAAACTTTGTTGGTCTCCTGGAGTTTGCCAATATCGAGAGTGGAAGCCTGGCGGATGAGTTTGATGGAGGAAGTGCCGGTACCGGGATCGTCGAAAGAGATGAGGAAGACGTCGGGAAGGTACATGCACGATAGTGAAATATCGAGCACGCGCGCCGTGGCTTGGATTTGCGCTTGTAGCCGGTGGGATGGGCCGCCGAACATCATCATGGCACGAGCGAGTTTGAGGACAAATTCTTGTCTTTGTATGATTTCGGCGACGTGACGTTTGATCTGAGGACACCCAATACGACAAGATCAGACAGGCAAGAATGTTGCAAAGCGAAGTAGAAGACGCACGAAGACAGCAGCACTCTTACGATTCTGCCTGCGCTCTTCCCTACGAGCGGCCTTGATCGCTTCGCTCTTCTCCCCTATCCATTCCCCCTTCTCCAGGTCCGGAGAGCTGACCCTCGTCGACGGGTCCGACTGCATCGAATCAGCGTAGCTCCAGTCGCCGCCTAACATCAGTGCTGCATCTACGACAACCGCAGTCGATCAAATCAACCGAAACGAGGAAACAAACCATGATTGAACCGTACCACATCAGCGACGCGTCATTGAAGATCAAGAGAGGCGGAAGAACAACTCACGATGTCCATGGTTATCCATCGGCAGTCCATCCTCCCTTTTCGTATCATAATACTGTAACAGTGTCGACAACATCCCAGCCTGCCCCATACCCACATTCATCTTCGTAGCCTCCACAACCGGTTCTGGCTCCATGATCATCCCTCCTTCGCTCACATGCTGCGCTCCTGAGCTGCCCGACATCTGAGACTTCCCATCTTCCTTGTCCTCCTCCTTCGGCTTTGTCGATACGAGACGAATCGATGCTGGCAGCCGCTCCCGAGTGCTCGATGTTTGACTCGTTAACCCTGCACGTGGATTATGGGGGAGGCCGAGAGTGCGATCGCTGAGGCCAGAGCGAGAGCTGAGAATAGACGTCATCCGCTTCGTGGACTCACGTTCGACGCTTCGACCAGGCAAACCGGCACGTTCATTATGGTCGATGTAGTTCGCGCCCGGGAGGTCGTATGTCGGAGGAGTTATCACTCCGTCTGCGGAGGCTGCGGTAGAAATGGAGGTGACGGAGGCGGAGGGGCCATGATGGGAGAGAAGAGTCGTAGAGGAGCCAGCTGCAGGCTGGGACATAGAGGACTCGAGAGCAGACGTGAGGGTAGCGAATGCCGCGGGCTGTACGAGTCAAGAAGGCAATTAGATTGGGTTGAACGGCGGTGGACAGAATAGGAAATAATGCAGAGGGAATGGAAGAGCACGGAAACGGCCAGCAGGGAGACGTACATCCTGTCCTTCTGCATCGAGCGTTCTCGAAGACCCAGGTCGCGCGTTGAGAATGGGTGGTGTCGGAGCCCAGGACACCTTCATTTGAGGCAACTCACTACCGCTGCTGTATCTGGATACGCCTGTGCCCATCGTCGTATGTGTGAGAGGAGGAGTTCGTGGTATCGGTGGTAGGGACGGGAGCCCGGTCTGAGACGAGGGCGGCATGCGAGGAAACGGAGACAGGAAGGGAACAAGATAGAGAGAGAAAGGACAAGAGAGACGAAAGCAAAAGACGAGGGTGTAAGAGAGAAGAAAGAGAGAAACGGTGGAGTCAATGGGCACAGCCAGGGAGCTAATACTAACGAGGGTTGGAGTGTATTTACGGGGCAGAGATACGCAGCATCGAGACGCGTTCCATGACCGTCAGTGGCCAACACGTTCTAGATGAAAGAAGCAGCCAAAAAGGCAGCGACGCATGTGTAAAACGTTGTGGCGGGTAACGCGAGCTTCGACTGTCGACTTTCACTGCGGGGATCCACAGCTAATTTGCATTTCTCCACAGTAGTTCAGTGAACTACTGTGGACTACTTATTGCGTGGAATGACATACGGATATGAACACTTCGAAGATGCGTGCTCTCCGAAATGGATCAAAGAGCAGGCTTTCTTTCCAAGCCCGAAAGAGAACAAAGGGGAGAAGCATTGAACGGTAATGGCAGAATGATCGAGGGTGGTCCATGTAACCGATATCGCGGCTGTGATAGGCTCCCCAAAGCATTGCGCGGCGATCTGGTCGCGGCTCTAAAAATAAACCACCTCCATACCAACGTCGTCATGAACGATGAAGACTTGTTGAGAAACAAGCGAGGTGTATGTACTTATAGCGCTCCCTCGCACTGCGGCACCTCGAGAAGGACCGGGTGAGGAAGAGAAGACGATAGAAGACGTGAAGAATGGGCGACAAACGGAAGCACGACTCGTCGTCGTTGTTGGTGGTGTGCAGGGTCTACCAAAATACACTGTTTGGGCGAAGTCGGTGAAAAAGAGAGAACCATAGGTACAATGAGCTACACACGCGAAGTATGTATCGAATAGAAAATTGGTGATAGCACATAAATGAAAGCCGAGGTGCTATCAGTACGATGGTTCTGTGCAACGTGCCAGCATAGGTCACACATCCGACGGTAGAGCTTTTGTATTCGAATCTAGTATGCAGCCTTCAACAGCATCCAGTGCAGCCAAACGTAGGGGCATGAACGAAACGAGCTCTGACTGCAGTGACAAGACTAGTCAGGGTGAGGATATGCGACAGACTGGTGAACGTGTCGGGTCGAGATAGAGGAAATCAAGGAAGTATCTGAAGGGAAAATGTCAACGTCCAGAAGCAACAGAAATAGGTGTGGCAACAACGACGTGTTTCGTTCACCAGTCAAACCATCTATGCCAAAGTGGAGCTCCGGAGAAAGGCAGTGGAAACATGTCGACATAGGCTATCTCATGAGCACGAAGCGAGTGAATAGAGCATCAGGTTATGCAACGGTCTTACGCGCCAGTAGAATATGAGCGTTCGGAGGGCGAGTGACCGAAGAGAACTTAAAGAGGGGAAAGTAGATAAACGATACTAGTATGAGGACAATCTCGAGCAGACAGAGTTATAGAGGAGGGCTCACCGGCAGAATTCTGCAAGCAGAACGCTTACAAACGTATCCTCGTAGAGTGCATGTATATCGTAATCATCGACCAGGCTGCCATCGACCGAAAGTGCTTGTATGGACGCTCAACAACGTCTCGGCGGCTAGACGAGAATCGAGCGTACAACCCATTACCCATAGCGGACGCCATATCGCCTACAGATCGATGAGCGATATACGTCAAAGCCACAACAACCGACCGCAGAGCGAATCTACGCCACTGAAAAGCCGAAGGACACTACGCAAAGCAGATTGAGCAAAGGTAAACCGCGCTCAGGCAAAGTGAGAGAGAAAGAACACTCGAGAAACGAGGAGTAACTGCTGGTCTGTTTTCCACCAGGTACCTCCATACATTGACAAACCCTCTTCTGGGTCAGGCCGACGACTCTTTCTGTATTTTCAAGGGATATGGCTGCCGATCTGCTTCAATAGAAGAATGAGTCGGATGGTTAGCACGCGTCATCAGGGAGGGGAGAAAGAAGTGAAGCAAGAAGAAAAGTGGAAGGAGAATGTATGAAAGCCAGATAATGACGGGTAGAATATGGAAAGCCGAGCAGGAAGTGATGGAATGCGTGTGTTTGAGCGTTGAGGCTGAGGGCTGAGTGGAGGCTCGGAAAGAGAGGAGAGGATGGACGATAGCCGAGTGTGGAGTAACCTATGGGCAGTAAAGAGAACAAGATACGAGATAGAGAACAGAGGAGGGACTACGAATATAAGGAGGGAAAGTGCCAAAGAAACTGAAAGAAGGTGGAAAATGAACGTACCCGAACGAACCAGTCGCCCTTGCACTCTAGGTCGATTAGATATTGCAATAAAATTGAGGCGTACGCGGAGGTTGTCATGCATAAGATGCTAACAGATGCGTTGGGGAAGAAAGTCAACTAAGAAAAGAGAAGGCGTGCGATGAGCAAACACGACAGGTGGAAGGTGAGTGAGAAGAATGACGGGAAGATGAGGAGAAAGGATGGAGAATGTATGGAAGAGAGGCGCGGTTGAAAGGCATCACCTCTACCACACTGTTAAGCCATGCAGCCGCCAACGAGCAGTTTATTCCGTCTGGAACGAGAAACACTCGGAGGGGTGAAGAACTCACGGTCTGTGGCTCACCAAGCACATCCCTCCGGTTTAGCGACTTACGTCCATACGAAGACGACGACTCGTTCGGACCCTGAGCGCAACACAGTTTCTATTCTGTACATCTACACATAGCTGGTTAGTCAGTGCATGCGTTCGTGAAGGAATGAAACAGGAAAGGGTCACGACTAACCAATCGCGCTCCTCTCTTTTGTTTCAGTGTCGGTAGGATTTCATGCAGGAGTTTAAGACAGTGAACACTTTCAAATAGGACTCAGTAGAAAAGGTCACACGCGAAAGGAAATGGTCTAAGATAAGTTGATAGGCTGCATGGCGAGTGTAAGACGAAGAACTGCAGAGCACGTGGCTTCGAAGCGATCCCAAGAGCTTTAGATCCTAACATGGCCAAACAACCGTCTTGTTTGTCATCTGATTCTATTTTCGGCTCTCTTCTCATTCCACAATGCGGGATGCCTTGCACAGGCTTATTCGTGACATTTGACTGAGGTATGCTCTCGGAAGTGTTTTAAATTGAAACGAGATACCCTTTGCCGCTGTACACCGTCTTCTGCTGGTTGGTTCCATCGTGACGTTTGCCACAACTTTGCCACACAGGTTGGTGGGCCACGTGGTACGCACATGGCGGCGCTCTCATTGCGCGTCGACCTTCAAATCGACGACTTCACTCAAACTTCACTCCATCTCGTCCGACTACTGTCGAAGATCATACCCCTGCATCAGCCATTCTATCATGGTCCGTAACCTGGCGCGCACTATGGCTGGGTTGTGTTTGGCTCTTTGAGATCCGTTGCCTTCAACGACAGCACAGTTTCCTTGCAATTTCCTGAACTGATCTGCCTTTATGATCCTACTACTAGGTCTCGGAGTGTGGTGATTCGAGTCGCTCAGAACTAATATATATTGATTTCCACTTTTTTTACTTGGCGTTCGATCTTTAGAGTCTGGTAACACTCCACTCCATGACATGATACGGCTCCTTGTTCCCAGGGTATGTCCCGAACAAGTCATCTCCCCCAATCTCCTTCGTGACTCTCGCCTCTACCTTGACCTTCGCGCCGACCTCGCCTAAGATTTCCGCCCAGAGTGCTGTCCAACTGTCTACGGAATGACAGAACATCCACCTTTCGCTACCGGTCGGATGCCAAAAGCCCTTCTCTTTCTCACCTTCCTTCCTGCTGCCATGGACGCCGAAGATCATCGAGCCAGGCTGAGGCGAGAGTAGGGATGCTAAAGAGCGTGCAATATGGTATTGGGTAGTCTCGTCGAAGAGATGGAAGAAGGCGCCGCAGAAGATGGCGGAGAGATGGCTGCGAAGAGGGTTGAGTGATTTGAGAGTGGGTGAGTGAATATCTGGAACGAGGCTGGTAACTGGCAAGGGTTCTCTGAGTATTGGGATAGGCGAGAGGAAGGAGGGCTCGAGGATGCTGCCTTGGACGAATGGAACGGGGAAGGACTCCGGTGTCGAGCGGAACATCTCGTGGCCCAATTGCCAGAAGTCTGTGTCGCACAGAGAAGGTATGTAAGTTCCTCGTTGCAGCAGCTTTCTATCAATAATCACCTGCGTGGAGATCGGACGCCACGACGTTTTCGATGGGGAAGCCATCCTGAACTGCCTTCCTCGCGTCGTTGCCGACTACGTCAAAGACCGTCATGGATCAACACACACGCAATCTTGCACTGTGACGGACAACACTCATAGACTCACAGCAACATCCGAGGTCGAGAAATAGTGCGTCGTTCCTATCCCTCCCAAGTTCCAAAAGCTTCGGGTATGCTGGCAGCCTCGATATCTTCAGCCTACGCCACAAAGCACGCAGAGCAAACATGTCATCATCAAGGCATACGCTCCAAGGTGTGCTCGCTCGATTCTTTTACCTTGCAAACTCAAATATCCGTATGCACGGATACCTATATATCTGCGCGCCCTCATTATGTTCATCAGCAGCACGGACATTATATGTGGCACAATGCTTAGACGGGTTAGGATGAACAATAAAGCAGAATGACCCACGGCGTATGCCTTCGTTTGCACTGCGATGATATGCTGCTTCAACTCCTCATCGTCCTCGATCTTGGTCACCGCCTTGAAGAAGGCTTTCTCTTCATTGTCGAGATTATACAGTTCGTCTGTTAGATCTGTGTTATAGACATTCTTGAGGTCGTTCATGGTCAATGAGGGTCTCCGGCAGGGAGTTTGCTACGTGGTAAGAAGCTGACGACTACGTTGGCGCTTATCTGAGTATCAGTCATCCTGCCTAAATATTCTCATGTCTTCCAATGCCGGTGACCCACACAGAACTCAAGACCTTTCCGCCCGTTCGTGCGTCCGACCCCGATGCTCGGATCAATGGCCCCGATACTCCCGGAAACTTTTCAGCGAAAAGCGACTCCGCATACCTCTCAGTTTCTATGTATCTCTCCCCGATCTATCCCATACAAGCGATTCCAAACAACGGAAGACTTATACCCCGTGACCCCTCTCGAGACGAACGGAAACACTCGAAGGAGCTACATACAAATTGACAAAATCTAGATGATTGCCCCATGGCGGTCCACTTTGTGACCTTCCGTATTCCGAAGGGTATGTTTGATCCTTCGGTTTTGGGACAAAGTTGAGAAGGACAGATCACGAGTGAGGTGTCGTGAGCAGTGGTTTAGTTAAGGGGATATCAAGGCTACGTCTCGCCTGCTCTACAGTTTGCTTCGTCTTCGTCCTGCTCCTCTACTATCACTCACTGCTGTGATTGTTCGCTTTGCTAGAGTTCAGAATATCGAGCGACTAGATATCTTTAATGTTATCTCCTCTCCAACAACAACTGAAGAACATCAATGACCTCTCTACTACACCTACAGAATTTAAATACGCGCGAGGCTCGGTGCTCTTTTGACGATCCACAGCAAGGTGCTCAAGCACTTACGTTCCACAAGACACAACTCATTGAAGCTATGGGTTGCCTCGATCTCCGTCCGGTGAACGAGAGGTCATCCAGTGCGCTTTCCCTACATTTCCCTTGTCCCATTCTCTGAGCCACGTCGAGTCATTCGTCTCCACCTTTCATTCACTCTCTTCGTCTCCCCATTATTATCCTCCCTATCTCCCCCTTCTCGTCTTCAAGAATCGTACTGATCTTCTCTTCCAAAATATCAGTCGACCACGCGCCCATGATCGCTTCAATCCTCAACTTCGCCTGCGCCAACGCTTTGAGGTCGTCTCACGACATTATCGAGTTGACGTGTATGGGTTATTAGTTTCTTCACTGAGCTCATTCAGCTCATTCATCTGTCTCCCTTGGCTATCTTTACACGACCCCTCCTCTTCCTCTATACGCGTAGGTTATGGCACACCTTCCTTAGTAGGTTTTGGCGCACCTTCCTTATATGTCATCATCATTCGGTACATGTCTCGCTCATCGCTCCATCTTTCCATCCGCCATCCATTCCATCGGTCCATTACTGATGTACCATCTTCACGTGGTGTTCTCCTTTCGCAGGCCAACCATGATGCCTCATCAGCGCGATGTTCTCCTCGTGTGTCATTGTGTTGAGTCGATCCTTAATGTAACGTGGTAGTCTGGCCTCTGGAACTTCTATGGACCTCTATGTGCTTCGTTAGATGACTCGCCGAACAATTGTGTCTCCCCTTCGTCATTCTCCAAAAGCCTGCTTTTCCAAATTCAACGTATGTCGAGAAACCTATGTGCGAGCTTCACCAGATTCGGCGAATGCCATGTGGTCTTTGCGGCAGGGTATAGCGACCAGAGCTCACATCCTTAATCATCCAGAGATAGATACACTGTGGGACGAAAGGGCGCTTCTCACCAATAACGGGTGTTTTAATTTTACATGATTGTTCGTATCTCATTTCATCCTCCTATTTTTATTCACTTCTGCGTTTCAGACTTGATATGCCATCCTTTTCTCGCAGAGGTGAACCTTTACACGGAGACGATCATCACATAACGCAAGAATATCAGTTATCCAACTTTTTGTTCATCATCCTATGACCGAGACAGTCGAAGCTCAGTTGACCAGCTGACACTCCTCGTGAGTCTTTCTGTATCATCGGCGGGGTACTTAGACCCCTACCTTTGCTCACCCATTCCACCCATCATCTCACCCATGTCTACCTCATCAGCTTTTTACTCCGAGATATCTGAGCAGTGAGCTCTCCCTCGATGTTTTCCTCCACATGACCCGATCTTTTGACATCTCTCTATTTTGCCTTTCACTGTTCAGAATCATATATAACTACAATGCATTTTCCGCGTTGAGTAAGCCATGGAATGATGTCTCGCCGCTTCCATCGCCTACATTGCTATCCTCCGAGCCTGATGCCATACATCTCGGGGCTTGATACCTTTGCAGCCATCTACACCCTCCACTACATACATACGCTCCCCATCGAGCTTCGCAGTATATGGTCTAGGAGGTTTACTGGAACCTCGGTCCTATTTCTCCTCAATCGGCATGGCTTCATGTTATCGCAGATATTGAACACCATCGGTGACTTTCCTGGAAATATCGGCCAGCTCCCGTGCGTACATAGCATTTCGTTGGTGTGCTACGAAATGATGGAACTCATGCGTTCAAAAATTAACCACCGATAAATATAGATGCACAGCTTTGGAGTTTACAACTGCTTCCTTGAACGTAGTGACCTCCTTTTCCACATCCAGTGTGTCGACTTCGTTTCCTGAACGATCAGTGACCGGTCATTGATCAAGCACGAGGCAGTGCTTTTGCTGCTCAGGGTTTATTCGATATACGGCTTAAATCGACTTATTCTGGCTGTTGGGCTCGTCTTTATCATACCCGTCGCCGCTTTGAACGTATATGTACGTGTCCATCATTTCCATCTAACCCACTTCTTTCTCCAAAAATCACACAGGAATCTTACCCGCACACGATGTAACTGTACTCGCATACATGCAAGACATCTACCGGATTAGTCCCACAGACAGCTTCTGGTTCTATTGTCAGCAAATTCACGACCTGTTTTGCCGGTGTAAATACCACAAGATTTGAGTCGACCAGTAAGTAATCGTTGTCACTTTCGATCCCTCAGCCTTTCAAGTTGCAACATATCTCTCTCATGGTGCTGACCTTGGATTTATGACGTACGGCAGTTATGCTTGTGATACAACTGCTCCCACTGGCCTCGGAAACGTGGCTCCTCTCGCTAATGCTATACAAGCTTTCAGGCGTGATCCGTGCGATGCGCGGGACAGGCCAAAAGAGCTTTCTCGAGGTTCTCCAGAGGGACGGTGAGTGGTTTTTGCGTCGAAGTAGCTGTGACAGCCATATAGACCGACGCCTTTTTCTTCTCGCTAGGTCTGCTATGCTATGTGTAGGTTAACCACTGGTTTTGAATATGATTTATTGCTAAAAGCTGTCGTTTGAAGGACAATTCTTGCGGTATCGTTGGCCCAGGTAATTCCTATCCTTGTACGTCCTGTCCTATTAGCCCATCAGCATCCACTCTGTAAACCAATTGACTTAAGGTAATTTGTCCAGGCGCGTGGTAGTAATCCCACCCTGGAGTGGGTCCTCGGAAACGTCGTCTCTCCTTACTTCTCCGTGTAAGTTTCACAATCCATCGATCTCTTTTCCGTTCAGGGAACATGAACCAGATACATGACTTCGTGCTAAATCGCGTCTGCGTAGGCTTCAGACTATCGTCGTCAATCTTATGTTCTTAAACCTCCGAAGCCCTGACAGCTGCACACCAGGACAAGATATGAACGGCACTGCTTCGTCCCTTCCTGAGATCAACTTCGTGCAGAACAAGTTCCTCGGGAATATAGGAGCACCTGTAGAATCCGGTCAGTGGGAAGCCGATTCTGAAGACCTGGAACCTGAGGAAGATGCTGAGAGCAATGAAGACGGGTCTGCACTTACGAGCTCCCATAATGCGACTACGACCCTGGTTCCAGTGGTGAGTACTTATTGATTGATCTTATACTGCATCTGTTTTGATCTGTATAACGAGATGGTACTAATGATTTTTATTCTGTAGGCCTACGACGATAATCTACACGGCGAAGGCGGAGAAATCAGATTCGTTCCTCTAACGCGTGTCGCGCATATAACCGCCTCAATAATACCACTATCATCGGCGTCGAATGTCTGAGAAGTTAGTGTTAGTTGGCCATCAGCTGAGTGTCGTTGTCAGTATTGTAGTTTTCGATATTTAATTATAGCACGTTCCTTAGACTGGTCGCGAACGGTGTTCGGTGCTGTGGCGTGATTGGGCCACACACATTCTATCCCCTCATTGCTCTATGTAAAATTATGATCATCAGAACGGCTTGATAAATCATCCATTAAAGATCTTCGGGAAGGTTCAACAGTCGACCCTCCATCCCTCCATCTACCATCAACACCTGTCCTGATACATGGCCAGAAACCTTCGCCGAAGCCAATAGCACTATCTGACTCGCGATGTCTTCCGTTGTGGCTACCTTTCTTAATGGTATCGTTCTAATCAAGTGAGCGCAAGAATGATCAGGATTATGTATACCCGTGGACGGATTTAAAATAACGCTCACGCTAATACACGGTTCACCTTCGCCGTGTCCTTCAACCGATCCGCGGACAAAGGAGTTCGTGTCCAGCCGGGGGCGACGGTATTGACTCGACCGCGAGGTGCAATCTTCACGATCTCGTTCTTCAGCGACAAAGCAAGCCCATACATCATTCCTATCCAGACGCATAGACAGCGTCAGCAGCCAAGAACGACGCACGTGAAAAAGAAAATGCTTACCGCTTTTATTGGAAGCGTAGTCTGCGAATCCTGCCTCCCCAAACTTTCCAGCCGTACTCCCAACGAAAACGACAGATGCCCGGTCTCCAAATCGACTACCCACCTTTTTTGATTGAATGACATTCTCCAGTGCATTCAGATACTCGCGGACAACAAGAAACGTCGATGTCAAGTTCGAGTTGACACAATGTTCCCACTGCGCTAGGGACATGTCCTTAACCGGGACGGCCGTTGGTGCGTGAGCGCCATGATTGACGACAATGACCTCCACGGATCCAAATGGATCTTCGTCAAGATTCTGACCGAAAAGAGCGTTAACCTGATCCTCTGAAGTGAGCTCTGCCTGTGCAAGACGCAGCTGTTTCGAACCGTACGTCTCCAGCAGCGGAAGAAGAGATGCATCCGAGCTGCGGTAGTGTGCGGTGACGAGCGCGCCTTGTTCTTCGCATCGCGGGTATGTCAGTCTTCTTCAGAGGACCCTGGTAAGGTCGAGACTTTACCTAAGAAAAGTCGAGTAGTTTCAAGGCCAATACCACCCGCAGCACCTATAAGAGAAATAGGACAACGGATTCGGTATACGATCGCTGAAAGAGAGTCTCATTTAACGGACCAGTGATGAGGACGTGCACGGATTTCAGGTCGAGATCCATGGTTGTAGAGAACGAAACGAAATAATATCGCGGTGCAGGGGAGTTAAATGATGGAGAGCGTGGACTATTTATACGGAGGCCGGATAAAAATGACTCGGGCCTGATGTGGCACCTGCACGGAGGTGAAATTGAGTTGGCGGCTACCCGTTTACTTCCGCAATGCGAAATTCCTTCCATCCACACGATCAATATTTCTCCAGACCAGCTCAGAGATGGTTGCATCCACCAAACATCGACCTAAGTATGCTTATACGATTATTATTCAAGATGAATTGTTCTCCGAGGCCGACAAGGAATATTATAACGATATGTCGGCTTTGAAGGTGTCTCGAACGACATCATACTATTGAAGTGAGCTCGAAGTGGGTAATTGAGTGCTACAAAGAGACGACTTGAAAGGCTCTAGCACACCAACGTGCCGTTGCTATCGTACTCGCAGTCTACAAGATAGCCTATGAGCTTTTTTGTATTGTGCACTGTAATGGAACCGTTGACTTACATCCAGAATGACACGCAATCTCGCAATGTATGTAATAGCAGGGACAATATTCGCATGCATTGCCTTGCTTATGACCTACGCAAGCGGCAGCTGAACACGGAGAAACAAGCACCGGAGAGTGAGTAATCATGATAGAGCCCAAGGGTCCCTGACTTACTGGCGTTGGTCGGAAAGTTGGGATCTTGAGCATAGGTGAGCATAGGGGAGAGGAGCAAGGCCATGGTGACTGTCGGCGCAACCACAGAGAATAGATGTGAGAGTTGCATGATCAGGAGAGGGTGGTCCAATAGTTGGGTGAAGGTTATGGGGTGGAGTTAGTAGAGACGGTCAGTCAAAGTTAGCGCTAGAGAGCATAACTCTTCAGCTTTATACAGGAGGGTAACACGCAAAAAAGGGAACTGGTGTCCCATATTTTCATCTAGAGCTGTTTGGATGGAGATACAGAGCGACGAGGAATGTAATGTAACTGAGCATTGAATATTTATGTAGGGCACTCGGGCCTGTGTCCGTACGACTACCATGTTTGACAGCACTCTAGGCACACAGACTGTATGAGAATTCAGTGCAGTAGTGAGCGTTACGCCAATGAACCTTCAAGAGATTCGATGGCGTACCTCGCACTGCATATGTGGCGAAATCAGGGATCGGTCTTCATAATGTCAAGGAGAATGAATCGGAGGGGCGAATGAAGCCGTAAACCAGATCGTTTTCTTAGAACGAGCCCCGAAAGGAATCCTAAGTGGCAGATTTAGCACTGGCCAAGGCACTCTGCATAGAGCGTTCGAACATGTTGCGATGAGTTCGAAATGGAAAACTTTCCGCATAGTTTGGTCATTCTAGACCTAGTTCAAGAGATGTTTATGATCATTGACTGCGCCCTTATATTTTCATCCAAGATATTGGCGCTGTAGCGAGATGTTTACAGCAAGCAATACAAAGTTCCATCGGTTTCGGACTCGCAGGCTAAATGACAAAGGCAAAACGAACACCTCATCAGACGACGAGAACATCGAATCAGAGAGACGCTAGGAAGGAACCATCACTCACTCCCGGAAATAATAGACAGACAGTTCCTCTTCTCCGAGGACTCAAAATCCCTGCGCCTACCCGGAAGCGTTCCACATCCCGACAGTTCGCAAGTATCACCGACACTGTGTCCTACACATGCTTGTTCTGTGATTACGGTGATGAAAGAAAATGGATCTCGCTAAGTACCCGAATTTTGGACAAAGGAACGACGGCAGGCGACGTACCAGGGACGCTGAGAGTGGCTGCAGCATTGCTAAGCGAAACAAGTAGAACGAGGGCGAAGGCTACTGTGGAAACGAAGTCGGAGAATTTCATGATCGGCTGTTCTGCTGGAGATTGGGGTACACAAACTGAAGGGAATGGTGTATGAGTAGGAGGTACGCCCCGTGTTGGTTTGTTGAGAGACAATTCAGACAGACTTTATACGAGTTGTTCGTCCCGGATGCCACGGGATCTTGTGCTTTGAAACACTATGATCTACATTTCAGATGAAAACCGTAGCAGAAATGGATGGGAACGGAAAGCAGCAGGGGTGATGTCACCTCCGATTGTTGATCTCTACACTGCACGCTGTTCAGAATGAAATCCCGGTATCGAACGGAGTGGAACCACGAATACTCGGCCTGTCTACGTCGAGGATACTACGTCCCGATGACCAGAAGAGCACCAATAAAAGTACCTTCTCGATGGACAGATTGTTTGTTGATCAACACAAGGAGGTAGCTAGAGCGCAAACATGATAAGACAAGACGTCCCATTCTGATCATTAGCAAGCCCGCCTCACGAAGACGAAGAGCGGACCGGACGTGTATAGAATGTTTCCTGTAGCATGAAGTGTCAGGAACGGGATGGAGACAAGATCCGCCAGGACAGCGACAAGTATCAGCTATTCCTGTGGCAGCGTATGCAGAGTCCAGATGATCATTGAAATCGACCACATCGGGATGGCGGGACGACTCAGAGCAGAGATGGAGACATTGCAGAAGGATGCCCGCTGAGGCAGATATGGCTCTAAAATCGTTTGATGCAATGAAGCTCTGTGTCCGGAAGATGTTTCGTAGCGGCAAGACCTAGATAAGATGAATAGCAAGGGTCTTGGGAGAGATGTCGGTGTCACGATAAAACTGTTGATCAAAAGCCCCCAAAGAAGACCGTCGAAGATTCCAGCTCCGCTCGAATAGGTCGCCGCAGGCATTTCGCCACAGTGGCACCGACCAGGGTAACCTGAGAAAACAGAGCAAAATTTGAGCGGTGGTTGCGTACAGATATTGATACACATTTATGCTACAAATGAGTGGTGATGCATTCCCATCTTGTCCTACCTTCTCTCCATCTCTCGCTCACTGAAACAACCCCCTCAACCGGCCCTTCACGACGACATCGTTGAGCTTGATACACCTCACACCCGCGAGATCCTCCCCCTTCTTCCACTGTTCGACCAAAAACTTCCCCTCTACTGGCGGAACCTTACCGTTCTTCGTCCCCACCGTGATATGCAACCTGTTCCTCAAATCCGACGGCAACCGCTCAACGAACTCCGTCCCTACCTGCCCTTCATCATTCTGATCAGTCTCGCCAGACGCAGAATCCGACGTTCCATCGTCGAGCTGAAGATCTTCGATGGTCGCGGACATGACCCTGTCGTTACTGACCACCTCTCCTAGCCTAAACTTGAACATGATCTCCTCCCCATCCGTCGCAGCTTCGACAACCCTCGTACACCTCTCCCATAGATCGATATCGCCCGGCAAGCCGTTGACGTGCGCGATCGTGATATGCGGCCTCTTGCTCACCCTCCCGTTCTGCTTCAGCTCTTCCCAGAACTCCGTGTCCGGCCCATTCGGAAGCTCTGCGAACCGCGCATCGAGGACGGACTGGAGGTCCACTTCCGCCAGGATGCCGAAGTATCGAGGTCGGGAAGGCGACTTGTCCCTCTTCTTCTTCTTCTCCTGTTTCTCCTCCTTCGCAGCCTTCTCTATCTCCCTCTTCTCTTCCTTCTTCGACTTCTCATACGCATACTCCCTCGCAACTCTGACTCCCTCCCCGATCCTCTCCTCCAACTCCATCCCACTCAGCCCCACCTTCTCTTCACCGAGAATATCGATAATGCCCCTAACAGCCCTCCGCACGCCTTCCTCCACCCCCTCCTGCACATCCATCTCCACCACCGCATCCACCTCTCCCTCGCCCAACTCCTCGCTCTGTCTTATGAACTGCCACACAACCTCTTCGTGTGTCCTTGCCGTCGAAGGATCCGCAAGCAGCGATTGATGATTCGTCCCGCGCCCGAGGATACGGTCGGAGCAGATGCGGTGTATGGTGGGGATGGGGAGGGAGGTGTGAGTGAGGGACCAGTTTAGGGCGAGGAGGCGGACGGGTGGGGAGTGGGAGGACGTGGCGTCGCGGAGGGCTTGGCGGTGTTGGCGGAGGTGGTTGTTCCTGAGTGGAGGAAGGAGAGGATTAGCCAGGCGTCCGCACGGAAGAAGAGCACGGTACGCAGACGGCATGGCGGAACGATCGAGAACGAGGGAAGGTAAGGATGAAGGGTGGATGGAACGAAAACACTCACTTATCAGCAATGACGACATCGTGCTCCTTCAACAATGCCTGCACATTCTTGATGAACTGCACCGCCGCCTTCTTCCCCTTCACGTCGTCGCTCTGCGTATGTCCCCAGCCGAATATATGCGTTAGTGCGACGGCGATGGATGTTTTGCCTGTTCGCGCACACGAAGGCAAGATTAGCCACAGCCAAGTAATCGCAAAGGACTGTAGGAATGCGAAGAAAGAGAGCCAGCTACGCACCAACACCCGGAATCGCGATCGGCACAATGATCGTCTTCCCAAACCCATCCTTTCCTCCTTTCTCTTTCTTCCCCTCCTCTCCCCCACTCTCACTCCCGCTCTCCCTTTCGTCCTTATTGTCTTCTACCCACTTCAAAAACCTCTCCCTCGTCGCAATAATCCCCCTCCCCTTCCCAAACCCCTCAAACTTCCCAGCATCGCTCGCAATCTCCCCCTTCACCCACTTCACATACGCTCTCGTCTCCCTCCTCCCCATCTTACTCTTCGGCAGCCTCGCTTCGTCCATGCCCTTGGCCCCACCCTTCGCGTACGCCGTGAGTAGCATCTTCGTGACCTCGCGCCAGTCGCGATACATCATATACGGCTCGTCGAATTTCACTTTGAAGAAGAACGAGCTGCCGGGCTCGTACGGGGACTCTCCTTTCCTTATACCTTGTCCCTTTTCCCTCGGTGCGCGCGGCGCCACATGCGTCCTAACCACGAACCCCTCCAACGCCTCGCCCCTCCACTTCCCCTCCTTACCTATCTGTTCAGTGAACGCTTTGACTTCGGCGATAGTGGAAAGAGTGGTGGAGGCTGTGGGGATGAAGCCCCATGTGGCGGCGAAGGCGTCGACGACGGAGGGGGGCTGGGTGGTGAAGTGGCGGGAGCAGGTGTTGAGACCGTGGAGGTGGAGACCGGTTTTGTCTTTTGAGTAGGGGAGGACGTGTTCTTCGAAGGAGTCGTCGCAGAGCTGGGTGGTCGATAAGGGAGTGTGGCGTCAGGATACCGAGAACGCATAGAAGAAATTATTGAAAGGAGAAATGGATGGATGGGTACGTGCAAGGGACGTTCAACGGGGTAATCCCTGGTTATCAGTGACTTCAGCCTGCAGGGCTGCAACCCCTACCAAGTGCCCGGGTCAGGAGTTGCGATGTGGCGGAAGAGATTTCTGCATGCCATTGAGCACGTATTCTTATGCAATTTCGTACAACCCTCCGACAACCACCTACAAATTTTAAGAGGTTCATTGTGCTGACATTATACCACACGAACGCCCTCTGTGGATGAACAGCAGGTGGGGTTGCGAGCGAGTTCTCGAGGCCAATACTCAGAAAGCAGCACAGCCGCTCGAAGGTGAGAAGCGCCGCGTGCGACAGCGGATGCCCCTCCGGTACGTGTATGCGTGGTCGAAACCAAAACGGAGAACACAGATTGTATACGGCGAAATCCAAAAAGTAGACTCGACGCACCTCAGCAACAGCCGTCCAATTCTCGTCCCACAACGTCCTCGCCAACTCCTCCCTCGTCTTCCCCACGCTCTCGAGATGCTTCACGAGCCAGCGCTCACCAACTTGAGCGTGCGACTCCACGACGCCTTGGATGGGACCTGTTTGAATGGGGTGAAAAGGGCGATGGTTAGTGATGAGGATGGGCGTGCACGAAAAGGAAGGATGAAGGGAGTGATGGTAGGAAAGAGGGGGGTGGTTCGGTACGACACCACGAGGAGGAATGGAAAATGGAGAAAGGGAGGGGGGGGGGGTGGGGG